TTAGAGAATGAGTCATTTAGCATTTAATTGCCTTAAATTTCTCTCTAGAATTCCTTTCTGCTCTCCTCTCTTCTCTCATCTTTCTCTCTTCTCCTTTTTACCTCTAGTCTCCCATGAAAGCCACCTTCTTCCCTCAAAGAAAGAACACTTGATAGGAGGTGAAAAAAGTCTTATCACAATATCAGGAGGACAAAGAGATAATGGTTTGTTCTAATTCTAAAGGAGCTATTAAAGTCATAAATGATATTTATTCAGCTTGTTGGAAGCACTGGTTTCTTTCAGAAATCATCAATCATGTTCAATTGAGCACAGTAAATGATTTTAGATTCTCCCACACAGAGACCAACCAATTGACTCTGACTACCTCTCACACTAATGCAATCACATCGGAGAGCATGTCTTTACTCCAAATAAGTTATCTCCTGTGATGAATTAAGTTTATTGAGGGAGTCTGGAAGATGCATGGTGCACTAGATACTAAATATTATAGTGTTGTGCCCATTTTTGCACATTCAAAATTTGCTAAAGTGGGAACTTTATCAGTTCTGATGAACTTATGATTACACATTCTGATTCATTTTCCTAGGGATGGGATATATTGTATAAGAAAAGAGTGTTTGACCTTATCTCAAGCTATGAGTGCATCGGCCAGTTTAATCCTGCTCGAGTTTACTTGTGGGTTTTTTCTCATCCACACACCCCCTCCTTTCTTTTTTCCTGAGAAAGGATTTTTCTCCAATGAAGCTTTTCCTTAAACTCTCTTGGAATGAACATGAACATTCTATGTTGAATGAGAAAATAAATTGCCTTGTGAATTAACTGATTGTAAGTAGAAAATGCTGTAAAAAAACTAAGAATAAGTCGAAAGAAACACTTGTTAGTTTACATGAGAGCCAATGATGCACGTTTGGCCAGGCATTTCGTCGAGCGGTTGGCGAGTGAGTTCATCGATGCACATTTGGTTCGATATTGGTGGAGTCGTGCGGTGATACTGACTCTTGGTGGTGGATGAAGGTCTAGCAAGCGATTGCCGGGGAGGGAGAGGTCGAGAGGTCGGCGATGGAGGCGACGAGAGTGATGAAACGAGGCCAAGTTTATACTAAACCAAGCCTCAAAGTCGATGCTGGACTTGGGTTCGTGGATTCCAACTCGAACCGAAATGGAAGGCTCGGTTCAAATAAATCGGACCGGTTTCCGAACCAAACGGGTCGGTCAGATCATGGCTCCCAATAACTCGGTTCATATCACGTGAGAAGTGTAAAGTTTCACGTGCGCTTACTAGGGTTGGCGTTTCTATATCAGCTCTTAATCGCCCTTTTGCACTGACGCAGCTTTGCTTCGCTTTCGTCTCCTTGCAGGTCCTCCTCCAGGTCAAGAGTTACGCTTCGATTCCGCTTGAGTTAGTTCCAAAGATTCCAACTTTCTGTATGATTTGAAGGCGGCATGTTTTATTTCTCCCGATTTTTTTTGCGGTTTATGTTTACCTGTGAACTGGGTCGCCCTTTTTTCTATCAGTTCAAGCGTTGCCCGATGATTCAACTATGATTCGTTGCTTTTGATGCTCTGCTGTTGTCCTTGTCGTTTTTATGAAGTAGAAGTTCAAAAATCGTATCTTTAGGCGACTTATATTTGAATTTGTTTTATGTTATTGGAGTACTTTCTCTCGAAAGTGTTGCCGATTTTGGATTTTTTGGGTCTAAAATCGCGTTTGCTTATTTTTTCTTGCGTGCAACCATAATTTTGATGTATGGCAGTCACATGGTCAATCGGAATTACTTTCCCTGACATATATTTGTATTTTAGGTGATCTTTCCATCGTTCTGTACATCTATAGGCAAGCGAATCCACTCACAAAATGCAGAACGAAGCTGGTGAGATGACCGATCTGTACATCCCGAGGAAATGGTAAACATCTCCCAACTCAATTAGGGGCTTCTGTCTTCCATGTACTGTTCTGTCATTGACCTTGATATAATGTCTTTGATGCTCAATCTCCGTGATGTTGCTGTTGTAGTTCTGCTACGAACAGGCTCATTACTGCTAAGGACCACGCGTCGGTCCAGATTAATATCGGGCATTTGGATGAGAGTGGCGTGTACACGGGCCAGTTCACCACATTTGCACTTTCTGGATTTATCCGGGCTCAGGTCTGTCTTCTCTCGTTGAGGTTTCTGGTGTCAGTATGTATGCTTTCTGGAATCATATGTTGCTTATGTGATAATCGATACGCTGCCGTTTTGCTAAGAAAAAAATGTTAGGCTATTCGTACTCCTTCCCACTAAACATCTGTGCTTGCTGTTTGTTATAATGGGCACATTATCGTGACCAGTAGTAGGCTCAATTGTTTATTTTATTTCTTGCATTTTACATGTTATGTTCTACTGGGAAATGCTGAAGAATATGGATTTAATTCCTCCACATCTTTTCCACCTTTAAACACCTAAAATACTGAAAATAATTTTGCCGTTTTTCATAACTAAGAGAAAGAGATTCATTATTTGTTTTTCGTCTAAATTTAATTACAAGGAGAAATAGCATGTACCAACATTAGTATAAGATCAATGGTTTTTCATTTTGAAAAATGTAAGACAAAATAAAAAAATTGTTATCTTAATTTTTATTACATGGAATTGCAATAGTTTGACTATTTTTTTAGTTGATCTTGTGACATACAATCTGTATTTTGTAAAGTTGTGGATTCTTGGGATCTCTGTTTTATAGCATACGCAACAGATCTATATTCGAAAAAGAAGACAATTTTAAAAAATAAAACTGAACAGGGGATGAGTTCCACAAAACCTACATAGAAGCTTTAAATTTATTAATGATTCTACTGCCTCATCTTACTTTCATCACTTGTACCTAATTTAAGAAAAGTAAACGAAAATTGGGTGGCAGGAATTGCCTTACGGGAGAGCTTTCGCCACCTGAAAATTTGCCATAGAGATACTTTATTTTTTATTGAACTGGGGTTTGATGGTGTGTTCATGATCTTCTTTTCGTTGCAGTTGGAGGATTCGTTGGATATTCATTTCCTCCTCTTTTTTAGTACTGAACCTCATCTCAGGATTTTTTTTTCTGCTGATTCTGAATAATTCGAGAAACATTGGAGAAATCAGGAACTTGCATGAAGATTGATCAATGCATGGCAGAACTGGCTTGTTTATACATACTGCATAAATCATCGGAAAAAGAAAACTCACTTTTTTTTCTTGTGACAGTTTATAATTATTGCTATCATGTCCTTGTGATGTTTGTGTTTGTTCTGAAACTTCTGGTGCTCTGTAATGGAGATATGTATCTGAGTTGGCCCAAGCAATATTTATCTTTGGATGAACAGTTTGATGGAAACTGAACAATCATTATTGGAAGAAGCATGTTACTATCTTAAGATTTCGGCAAATTTAATTCCAACATAGAAAACAATAAAAATGATTCTTAGCTTAATCCTTAGTCACACTTTTGGTGTAGCTGGAAGTTGTTCCTGAATTGTATTACTCTTGTTGTTTAAATTCTGCTAATTGCTCGATGTACTTAATAATTGACAAAACTTAGCTCTTGGTACATGTGCGAATCTTATTTTGCCTTTGGCCTCTTGTACAGGGTGATGCTGATAGTTCTCTGGATAGGCTTTGGCAGAAGAAGAAAGCTGAAGTCAGACAACAGTAGAAATCACTTGTGACAGGGAAAATTCTATATGTTTGATCCGAGTGATGAAGTTACTTTAGTTTCTGATGACATTTTAGTCCCCGATTAGATGCTTTAATTGTATTTGACTGGATTGAGCTATTATTTCTGTTCAGGTTTTTCCAGCATTGTCATTCAGTAGCTTGCTATTAATTCTTTTCCTTTCATTGATCTTGATATGGTTAATGAGGCTCAGAATTACCTCAAGTGGCAAGTTTGAGTCTGATTTGACATCATGCCTAACTTGGTTTCTTCTTGACATGGTCTGATTCAAAAATCCTTGAATTCAACTATTTGAGTCTAATGTAGTCAACTCATCTTAGTATTATTGTTATATTATAATTATTATATCTCTAATTATATACATGATCATTATCACTTTCTTCTACCGAAACATAATTCAAATCTTCTTATTCATGATCCAAGGGTCGATCACACGTGCACGAATCTCAAGTTCTGCCGACGATGGAGCATAGGAGGGTATCAAACATGGGTTGTCTTGCTGTGAGTTCAAATCGACATGGATAATATCCATGTACGTGTCAACATGTAATAAAGAGAGAAACTAATAAATCATCAATGTATAAGGATATTTTTACGTGTATAAGAATATATAATTAGCCCATTTGGCAACGAACTAATTTGATGTTTATATCTTAAACAAAGATATAATATTTATTTAAAAAAGTATTCATTTTTTAAAATTTCTGATAATTTTTTTAATAATGATATTATCTTTTGCAGCCACTGCCTTCACTAAGCACCATCGTGGAATCCGATTAACTCTCATCAAATTTATTCTTACTATCATTATCGAACCCCTCTTATCGTTCTCATATGTAGCATAGATAATTGTTGGCTGTTGTCATCTTAACTTTTCTTTTTTTTGTCTTATTGAACCCTTTTGTCTTTGCGCCTATAGCTTTTTTCGCCTGTGCCTTCTTTGCTGACTATGAGCAAGAACGATGAGAGTGAGACGCATAAGGGGGAGTTCGACTGAAAACCAACATGAGATGTACGAAGAAAAGAGATAGATCTGATAAGGCAGAGAGTAGGGGCTAACAATTGCATGTGTCGGGAAGTGAGAACAATGAGAGGCCAATGGGGGGACTAACGGCGGATAAAATAATATTTTAATCCAAGAAAAGATGCCACGTTAGAATCGCAAAAATAGGGAGTGTTTTTCAAGAATTTCGTTTATTGATTAACCCGGGTCGGACCGGACCGGACCAGACCAGACCAAACCTGATCTCCAAATAAGGGTACAGTGGTCATTGCGGAAAGACACGTTTAAGTAGCGATCGCGAGTCCGCGCTAGGGTTTCTCTCTCGGCTTCGGTACTTTAAAGGCCCCCCTCGACGCTTCCGAGTTCTCGAGGAGGAGGCGCGCAAACAGGAGGCCGACATCCGAAAAAGATGGTTCGTCTCTACTCAACCCAAGTTTCTGATGCCTGCCTCTTCTCTTTCTTTGTTTCTCTTGGTTATCGCGTCTCGATTAGTTGCTTGCTCCTGTTGGCGTGCGCATCGAGCCTATGGTTTAGATTGTTCGTTCGTGGATGATCGTATAACCCATTGTTTTTTCGGCTTTCTTACCTCTTAATCGTCTCTTGCTGTGGAAGAAAGTCGATCTTTTTAATGATCGGTATGTTTCTTCCTCCTAGTTTTCATGTAGCGAACGAGATGGGTTAGGTTTGATTTTTCATTACATAAGCGAAGATTATGACACGCGACCATCGGCAACGATCAGATGAGCAAAATTATCATAAGTTGAAGATATCAAAGATCCATAGCATAGCAAAATTGTCATGGTGTCTGAGAGCATGGCTTCGTCAGCTCTTTTTATGTTTTGGTTTAGTTGCAAGTTGGTAGCTTTGTTTTATCTTCTGTTGCTTCTTATCATTCTGATATAATGCAAAGATAGTACCTGATGAAAAATCAAATCTTGGATGGTTTCTCAAGTTTCCAGCTACCTATCTCGTTTTGATTACTATACGTGAAGATGCTAAATGTAGTTCTTGGAAATATAGAAGTTATCTGTGGATGTTTATGCTGTCTTCTTCCCTTTGCTTTTTTTTTTTTCCATGTGGTCTTCTGAAGGCAAGAAATATCAGTTCGATTGTTCTATGAGACCACTATTTCATTCTTATAGTTGTCAATATCTGTGTGAGCTCCTGATGCACTAAAATTTTCAGAACCATACTACTTGGTTATATCTGCCATCTTGTTCATCATCTGTTATAGATCACTCTTTTTTGCTTGCTTGACTTGTTGTTTCCTCTTTAGGCCAGGGGATTAAAGAAACATCTAAAGAGGCTCAATGCCCCCAAGCATTGGATGCTGGACAAGCTTGGTGGAGCCTTTGTGAGTCGAAATATTTACTTTCTTATACTATCTGTTGCACCTTTTTTTAGTTGTTTCAACTGTTGTTTTGATGACTAAATTTGGTTACCTATTAGGCTCCCAAACCATCATCTGGCCCTCATAAAGCCAGGGAATGCTTGCCCTTGATTCTTATATTAAGAAACAAACTGAAATACGCACTTACGTATCGTGAAGTCATTGCTATTCTGATGCAACGTCATGTAATGGTGGATGGAAAAGTCAGGACTGACAAAACTTACCCAGCTGGTTTCATGGGTATGCAATTCACCCTCGTTTGATGAGACATGCTTAGTTTTTTTTTTTCGGTGACTTGATTTTATACCAAAATTGTGAAATGCCTAAATTAATTTTGGTTATATGCAACTGCCTCTATGCATATATGTATGCATATACATGTATTTCAGGGACTAAATTTGATTTTGTTACATGGCATTATATTTGCAGATGTTGTCTCAATTCCCAAGACAAATGAAAACTTCCGCCTCCTGTATGACACCAAGGGACGCTTCCGTCTCCATTCGATAAGGGATGAAGAGGCAAAGGTATTTAGAAACTGTTTCTTTAGATGGTCATTTTTTTGTTTTACTTGCTTCAAAATACTGATGATGTTTGATTATTGGTTATCAAGTTTTGGATTGATTAAGCTTTCAACTAGATGAGAAAATCTGTCTAGGATTAGTCATGCCGTCTCATTAGCTCCTCTGGTGTTGTTACATTATTATAATAATCACATTTGCTAATATTTTGAAGATCCATGCATATAGTGAAATGCTGAATGTTTTTGTTCAATAACTACTAAAACACAATGAACATTAGCAGCAGTGCTATGCAGGTAAAAACATTGTCATGTTCTATGGATGGACAATGTCTTCAGAGAAGCGAATATGTGATCATTTGTGTTGATTATTGCCTCTTTCATGATGATAAAAAGGTTTTTTTTTCCCTTTACAGTTCAAGCTCTGCAAGGTTCGCTCTGTCCAGTTTGGACAGAAGGGCATCCCCTATTTAAACACCTACGATGGTCGTACCATTCGCTACCCCGACCCTCTCATCAAGGCCAATGACACCATCAAGCTTGATCTGGAAACCAACAAGATTGTAGACTTCATCAAGTTCGATGTTGGAAATGTTGTGATGGTGACCGGCGGAAGAAACACCGGTCGTGTCGGCGTGATTAAGAACAGGGAGAAGCACAAGGGGAGTTTTGAGACCATCCACATCCAAGATGCTACTGGGCATGAGTTTGCGACTCGCTTGGGCAATGTCTTCACCATTGGTAAGGCGACTAAGCCATGGGTGTCTCTTCCCAAGGGCAAGGGTATCAAGCTCAGCATCATTGAAGAGGCAAGAAAGCGCTTGGCTGCTGCTAATGCAACTGCCACTGCTTAATCCTATGCTCTGCACCCATCAGAATCTTGTTCTTGGATCTTTGATGGACTCGGCCTTTGATTTTAGCTCTCTGTTACTTGCATTTCAATTTTGCTTTGGAGATTTTGAGTAGAAGATACGATTCTTATCATAATTCTGACATGTAGTTTCCTGATGAGGGTTTTCTTGAAGTTCACCACCCTGTTCTTACTGCTGGATCTTGGCATTTTTATTTGGCATAATCAAAGAACTAGTTGAATTATAAATTTATTTCTATTTGGTCTCCTCAAGAACTAGTTGTGTCATGATCATCATTTGGTGAAAGATCTGTGATGCTCTTTAGAAAACCATTTTCCTGTTATTTCTTGATTCTGGTGCAACAGATGGCAGATATTAGAAATAACAGGACTTGCATCTCAACAAACTATAATGTGATTTAGGATTACATCATTAAGAAGGTAAATATAAATGAAGAGACTAACTAAGCTTAATATTGCTAACGAATGGACTTTTACGAGATCGGATCATTATAAATTGACTTATTTTTGTTTACTTATTTATCAATCAAGTTTTTAATATATATTATTTTTAAATTAAAATGTAAATTGATTAAAAATATTATAATACTAATTAATCCTTCTCTTTTAGTATCATTAGTTTTTTAATCGATTAAAAATAGTATATCACTAATTCACCTCTTCTTCTATGATTAACATCCTAATAGGTTTATTATGCATTTGCAGCTTCCTTACCTACTGATATCTTTGGTTCTGCTTTTGGCAATTATCGCATCACCTCTGCTACAGGACAGTTATCGACACGAATAACTCCTTTACCCCTAAAACGCCTGAGGCGAATGGCACGATGACTCAGTCACACAGCACAGGGAGCTTCTCCTCACCCTAAATTAGAATACGATGATTCGTCCGATGCAAGGTGGCAGCTTTGCGCCGAGGGACGAAGGGGGCGGCGGTATTAGAGCCGAGGGTGGATGTTCCTGTAATACCGATTCCCCGCCGATGGCTGAAGCACTTGCGGTGCTGGGTGGGCTCAAACAAGCCGCCCGACTCAACCTCTCCTCCCTTGTAGTCTGGGCTGATTCCCTTCCGCTAGTCCAGCACATCAACTCAGATCACTCTTTTGGGACATTCAAGCTCTTTCGCTAGTCCTGTAGCTTTTGCCAGTTTGGTGTTTGCTCCCCCAAAAAACTTATTTTCGATGTATCCAACAAGTTTCTGTACGAAATTTCATCCTTCTTGTGCAGTTGTGTGATGATGTTATGTTTTCTTGTCGGCAATCTGGGTCCTTTTCCCCTCATGTTCTTGTTCTCTTTGATGATTTCTTCCTCTATTGTACTCTTTCGATGATGAAGTATTGCGAGATTAAATGGTTTCATCAATGAAGTTTTAGAATCAAGTTAAACCAACCGCGCATCTGGTGTAGTGGTATCATAGTACCCTCCCACGGTGCTGACCGGGGTTCGATTCCCCGGATGCGCATTTCTTTGTTAACTATAAATAAAAACGAATACATTTTGACATACTTTAGGGGGGCTTTTATATTACTACAAGAAAAACTACATCCATTTACCAAATATTAAAAGGTCAAAATCTTTTCCGATATATCAATTCATTTAATTAAAATTTAAAATATCATTAGATATATTTTTGTACTTTTGGCTTCTTATATTACTTTAGATATTGTTTGGGTAAACTATCTTGAGTCGTGGCCTCGGGGTCGACGCGGCTCGGTTCGGGTCCGGATGACAGGGGGTTCCTCGGAACTGCTGAGGACGCTGGCCCGGTTGGTTCGGTCGTAGAGGTGGGTCGTCGTTTCCTCCGGGAAGGGGCTCCTCCCCTCGTGGGTCCGGAGAGAATCACCTCGTCTTCGTTCCTATGCACAAGTCGGGTCGTGGTGCTTGACCCGACCCCTTCGATGATCAAGTTAGTGAATAGTCGTAGGAGGTTTGTTTCCTCCCTTTCTTGTTTAGAACGTGGGGGTATTTATAGGAAAGTTTGGTGTTACCAGGTGTGCCTGCCCGCAGGGAGCAGGATCGTACCTCTGACGGCGTCTGATATCGCCGTTGGCGTGGCGTGAGGGATAGAGCCTGAGGAGTCGTTAATGAGCCTCGGTTGGTGTTTCAGCCCGTGTTTGCCAGGTGCTGTCAGCCCGACAAAGACGTGGGGCGTCAACTGATGTCACGTAAGTCTTATCATAATTATCTCCCTCATCAGATATATTTTTAAATTTTAAATATATCAGTTGATAATGTACCGGAATTATTTATCAAAGAAAAAAAATTTAAAATTTAAAATTTAAAATCTCATCCGATATATTTGAACGAATTATTATTTCATATTTTACAGAAAAAATAATGTTGAAGTGGACTACATTGTGGTGGTGTTTCTCTCTTCTTACTGTGGTTGTTTGGAACATATTATTAGCATTTGGAGTACCTTTTGGGGAAGCAAACAGTGAAGCAAAATCTCCAACTCAACGTCAACACCGGCAAGACATGGGATTGTTGTATTATTTTACTGTAACGCCACCGTCAACAGTCACAAGCAAAATGTTCGTGTAAATAACTTTAAGCCGTGGCCTCGGGGTCGACGCGGCTCGGTTCGGATCCGGATGACGGAGAATCTCTCAAGGGGGTTCCTCGGGACTACAGAGGTTTCCGACTCGGGTCAGTTCGGTCGTGGAGGTGGGTCGCCGTTTCCTTCTGGAATGGGCTCCTCGCCAATGCGTTCGGAGAGGGTCACCTCGTCTTCGTCCCTGCACACAGGGGGGTCCCTCCGATGATTAAGTTAGTCCGTGGTTCCCCCTTTTCCCTCTGGTGTTCAGAACGCAAGGATATTTATAGGGGAGTTTAGTATCACCTGACGTGTCTGCTCGCAGGGGGCAGGATCGTATCTTCTGATGACGTCTGACATTGCTGTTGGCGTGACGTGAGGAATCGAGCCTGAGTGATCGTTAATGAGCCTCGGTTGGTGTTCTGGCCCGTGTTTGCTCCCCCAAAAAAATTATTTTCGATGTATCCAGCAAGTTTCTGTACGAAATTTTGTCCTTCTTGTGCAGTTGTGTGATGATGTTATGTTTTCTTGTCGGAAATCTGGGTCCTTTTCCCCTCATATTCTTGTTCTCTTTGATGATTTCTTCCTCTATTATACTCTTTCGATGATTAACTATTGCGAGATTAAATGGATTCATTGATGAAGTAATATTTTAGAATCATCTTAACACAACCGCGCATCTGGTGTAGTGGTATCATAGTACCCTCCCACAGTACTGACCGGGGTTCGATTCCCCGGATGCGCATTTCTTTGGAAACTATAAATGAAACCGAATACTTTTTTACTACCTTAGGCGGCTTCTTATATTACAAGAAAAACTACATCCATTTACCAAATATTAAAATCTATTCCGATACATCAATTCATTTAATTAAAATTTAAAATATCATTAGATATATTTTTGTACTTTTGACTTCTTATATATTTTTTATAAGAAAATTATAGTCTTTTGGCATAAATTTTAAAATTTAAAATCTCATCCGATATATGTGAACGAATTATTATCTCATATTTTACAGAAAAAATAATGTTGAAGTGGACTACATTGTGGTGGTGTTCTCTCTTCTTGCTGTGGTTGTTTGGAACATATTATTAGCATTTGGAGTACCTTTTGGGGAAGCAAACAGTGAAGCAAAATCTCCAACTCAACGTCAACACCGGCAAGACATGGGATTGTTGTGTTATTTTACTGCAACGCCACCGTCAACAGACACAAGCAAAACAACAAAAGTCTATAGAAATAACAGTGGAAGCTTTAATCCCCCCCACAAGAGTACGACTAAATCCGTCGCACGTTAAACGGAGAAGCTGCATCATCTAAACAAGCAACGCTCCTATAGCTGGTGGTAGGGAACGTAGCCTATAGACGACTTGACGTTCCTCACGATATCCCTACACCTAAACAGGAGGCTCAGCATTTGGTCGGCGAAGGCCTTGTTCGCGTTCCCTCTTTGCTCGCTGGATCCCGATTCTTCTTCAACCCCATTGAGATTACGTTGCGGACGGGGCGGCGGAAGCACCCTCTCCGCCACGCCGAGGGAGGCAGGTGGCGGAGGAATGTAAGGGCTGTCTGCTCTCGGAGGATACGGTATGAGTGGGCGACTCGAAGACGGTGGCGGAAGAAAACTAACTGACCTGGGAGCCTTGCCGATGACGGGATCTACTGCGGAGGAGGTATCTGCACTGCTACGGACATCGTTGTTGTTGCCGGCGACCACCACTGTCGCAGGCAGTTCTGCCTTACCATCAACAGTGTCCAACATGAATTTTACGCGGGGAGCTTCTCTTCCACCACCGCTCGGTGCTGCCTCGTCGCTGGGCTTCTTTAGAATAGATTTCGGCTGCCCCGCGGGCTTTTGGGTCAGATTCAAAGGAGGCCTCGACGGACCGAATGAGACGCCGACGCCTGCCCCGCTTCCAGGTCTGAGTTGGTTACTCTCGGCGAGGCGCGACTCCGACCTCTGCCCGACAGCATCAGAAGATGGCTCGGGCACCAGCGCGTCGGCGTCGCGGATATAGTAGTAGACCTTCACCTGGCCGAACATCTGGTTGCTCCTCGCGTGGTTGAGTGCGGCTTCGGCGTCCGGCTTGAACTTGTACACCACCTTGCAAGTGTAGGATTTCCAGTACACGCGGGTCCCGGAGAGCTCCAGCGGCCCGAACCGGGCGAACTTTGCCTTCAGGGAAGCCACGGAAGGCAGCGTCGTCCTCAGCGGGAACTTCATCACGAGGGTGGTCGGAGAGGGCAGCCGAGGCGGCGGCGGCGGCGGCTCTTGTTTCTTGACAGGCTCCGCCGCCCTGTCGTTGGGCTTCGCCGGCCCCGCTGACGCAGCCGCAGACGTCGTCGCGGCGACGGGGTCTTTCTGCCCCCGCTGCGGGCCCTCGAGTCCCTTGTGACCGATGGCTGCCTTCTTTTCACCAGCCAAAGCTTTGAGCTTGTCCAGCTTCTTCTGCCGCTTAGCGCTCATCTCCTCCTGTCGATCAGATGCGGTTCGTTTGCGTCCGGCAACAGTGGGATCATCAGGCCTGAAACTGGCTTTCGGTGGTTTAGAAATGGAGGTCGGCGCCGTCTCCTCGTTCGTCACCTTTGCCGGAGCAACCACAGCACTTCCTGCAACAGGCTCCTGCGGCGGTGGCAAAGCAGCTGATGGTTTAACGGCTGGGACCTCCGGCGCGTCGGCCTCGCTGGCCGGTGGAAGGC